CTGCAATTCCACAGGTAACAAGGACAATTATGGCTCACAATACAAGTCGTTAAAGACATGAAAACAAAAATAGGAGAATAGTAAGTCTACAGACGCAACTTTGCCACTGCTACTTCCTCAGCACAGCAGCTTTGCCACCGCAGCAAGTCTAAATAGCTTTGCAATTGGAGCATGTCTCAAGTCGTTTCGTCCGAAGTCGCAGCACAAATAAACACGACCTGCATGGGCCAACTCTTCCCAATTTCCACCATCTCCGACATCTATTTTGAAAATTGTAGGGATCCATTTTAGAGAAAAACATAAAGCATGAAATACATTTGAAATGAAAACCAAGGAGATATAAACTAGAATAAATCTAAACTAATTTTTTAATGATACTGGAAATAGTACTATAAAAGTGGATAACTATATATATTGGTAAACATGGAACTAAGAATTTTTTTGTCATTATTCTTGAATATCTTTGAGAGAACAAAGGAAACAAATATGAAGGTGCATTTGTGGTAGCCATGCAGATTTTATTTCGTTTACGCATGTGACTAGATTTTAAAATGAACCTATTGTAAAATTCACAATATTGTTTTCAAGAATATTTATCTGAAACATTAGTTCATTCTACAAGTTTTATCTATTTCCTAGTACAGTTATTCTTAGTAACACTTTGCTTTTGTTGTTTTTTAATTAGTTTTTTTCCTTAATTGTTTAGAACTATGGGGATGTGGTTGGCATTGCTTTAATGTACGCTGGACTTATCTCATGTTTCAACCCTTCTCAACTAGCTACTAGGCATCGTATGTCATTCGCGCATCGACTATGTGCCTGGATATTCTTGACAAACTGTTTTCTCCATAAAGTGTATTAATTGTTATTATTTGCGACAGAGCTCGGCTTATTGGAAATAGGAGCCGAGGTGAAGATACTAGCTAGCATTAGAGGTGGACTTCATAGTTATTTTTTCTGTGAAATAATTCTTGAATTATTCAATCAAGGGATACAATCACGCATGACAACGTCCAAAACGACCTCCAGTCTAGACCCAAGCCATACGGTTGTTCAGCCTTGAGTTCTACCAAAGTTTGCCAAAACATGACTAGAAGAATTACCACTAGGACGAATATGTATAATACAAGAACTACGTTCGGACATGCTATCTATAATCTCTCTTATAAGAAAAGCATACTTGGATATGTTTGTATCTCCGCTCCTCATCATGTTGACTTCATAATTGGCAGCAATCCGATGAGGTTGAAGACATGAATGAAATGTCAAAAGGAATAAAGGGAGGCATTCGTGCAAGCTGTAGGATCGATCCCATTGGTGGCATTTTGCTTGTTTCTATTTTGGAAGATATGGATATCTTTGACCAACAGAGATCGATGCCTCATGAGATGGGTGCATGGGGGAATACTGGAATAGGTGCCACGGTGTGAATCGTTAATTCGAGATGCGCTTGGACGAGTGGTTGAAAACATGAATGAAATGACAAAAGGAAAACGGCATGCTCATATGCATGCAAGTAAAGTTGTAGTAGGATCGATCCCGTTTGTGGCATTTTGCTTGTTTCTACTTTTGGAAGATACATATGGACCTCTTTTGCCAATAGAGATTGTTGATGCCTCAACCGCTCGTGCATGGGTAGTGTTGAACACGTGTTACTAAAGTAGTGGCACCGATGTCCAAGTGAGCATACAAAGTTAACCAAAATGCGTAGGGAGGACCAGGATCGAGTTGACCTATCGGCAACCAGCTAATTATCCTCCGATCTGAGAGAGATGCAGTTGAAAGATGCTTGGGAACAAAATTATTCAGACAGGACCACAAGATATCATCCAGGAACCGTATACGAATGGAGGCCTTTGATCACGACCGTCAATATTCGACGACAGGAGGGACGTGGTGGTGCGTGCGCGCGTATGTATACATGCGTAATGCGTGTAATCTTATTTCTGCGCGCCACCATATTATGTAGGAGTAGATTGATTGAGCCCAGCGCCCCATGTGTACCGTAGCAAGGTTATAGCTTCTTCTCTTTTTTCTTTTCTTTTTGAGGAGTAGCAAGGTTCTAACTAGTTGCTTCCAGAGTTACATACCCTGTTTGCCTCAAGTGTGTTTGTCGCCTGAGATTTGGGTCAAATCATGAGATCATGTTGGATTTGTTCTCTCAGGAGTAGTATAAAGAACATGGTGGCAAGTTTTTTTTTCCTGAGAGCCATTTTCTTTGACGTCCATTTTCGTGCGTAGCGCCTACATTTTTTTTCCCGAGAACCATTTTGCGTACTGTCAGAAGAACCGAATTTCTCGCAACAACGTAACTTAAAAAACTTACATACAAGTCGTGATCAAATTTATTTAAAACGTTTAATGAATTATGTTTTTAATAAAATCAAATATTTTCTCAAATTTAAAAAGCTCATGAATAAAAAATATTCAGAAATTGTAATAAAAATATTCAAGAAATTTGTAATTTTCAAAAAATATTGAAACATTGTAGAATAAAAAAATGTACAAGCTTTAACAAATATTCACAATTTTAGAAAATGTTTAAAAATACTTCAGCAACATATAAAATGTTGCCTTGAAAATAAATCACAAATTTGTTTAAAGAGATCTAAAATTTAAAAATACTGATGATTTTTAATTGTCCATGCATTTTCAAAAATGTTATTAAATTAAAGTAATATTTGATAATTTAAGAAATCAATCCTTATTTTGTAAAAAAATCTTGAATTAAAAATATTTTTAAAGTGTGTGTGTGTGTGTGTGTGTGTGTGTGTGTGTGTGTGTGTGTGTGTGTGTGTGTGTATAAAGAAAGGGAAAACGGAAAATGCGAAAAATTAAAGAAAAACTAAAACCCATGGAGACAAAGTCATATATAAATGAGAAAATAACCGGATGAAAGCTTTCAAAACCTTGCCAAAACCCGCACTGAAAACCTAAATGGCCGACCCAAGGCATCTATAGAGAGGGTGCGCCTTAGATAGGAGGAAAAGGGCATGCCCAGTGCAAGACGAGCTATCTATGTTTGCTGAATAACACGAGTATTTTTCATAAACAAGAGAAGAATTTCTGAAGTTGGTTCATCTTCAAGCTGGTAAACGTGCATCAACCAGCTTGCGCTCAGATCTTGTGCAGATTATATATCAAGCACCCGAATAGAACAGACGGCCCTTGGAAACAATCTGATCGAATCCAAGGTAGGATTAATTGTTGCACTTGCATGTACTAGGAGTGTAACAAGAGCTATATATGTGTGGGAACACAACAAAACTGCTAATCGGCTAGTAATCACTGACAAAGCTCGCGACGGTTTGCCGACCAGGTCGTCTGAACACATCAAGGACAGCGCGAAGAGCCATGGTCGCCTTGCCGACATGGCCGAGTCTGAATTTCGGAAGAATGAGTATTTTTTCATGAACAAGAGAAGAATTTCGGAAGTTGGTTCATCTACAAGCTGACAAACATGCATCAACCAGCTTGCTTTTCAGATCTTGTGCAGATTATATATCAAGCACCCGACAGCGTGTAACAAGAGCTATATATGAGTGGGAACATAACAAAACTGATGATCGGCTAGTAGTCACCTACACAGCTTGCTGACCAGGTGGTCTGAAGTCTGAACACATCAAGGACAGCGTGAAGAACCATGGTCGCCTTGCCGACATGGCCGGATCTGAATCCTCCCTCTTTCTTCCTGTACAACATGTTGTTTACCTCCCCTGAGCTGCACCATACACACACACATACGCCATCAGTCCAGTCTGTATCGGTTCAGTTTGGTACACGACATCAGTTCCAAGGTATGAAGCAAATGCAGATGCAAAGCTTACCGGTCGTGCTGCTCCAGGCATAGTCCACCGTCAGCGGTGCCATCTGGATCAAACATCCCGCCGCGCATATCCTGCAACCAGTTCGTGGCACCTTTTCTCAGATGCAAGAATGTATATATATAACAACTCTCATCGCAATACTAGAATTCTGTTTTTGGCACAGAACTGTCAGGAATCAATCAATGTTGGATTCTCGCACGAGGTGGCAAACGAAAGGTGTATAATTGTCAAACTAAATAGGCCTGACAGTGTTCCATTTTCAACATACCCAGCAACAACGGTTCAGTTAGTACCAAAGGTTCAGCAACAAGTTGACTACCTTGGTGAGGACGATCTCTTCCAGATCGGAGTCCGAGAGCCCAACAGCAACACAGAAGACCGGAACAGAGTCCGAGAGCCCAACAGCAACACAGAAGACCGGAACAGAGTCCGAGAGCCCACTTACTCCTTGGTGCCCTTCATGTGCGCGTGTCGTCAGTCTCCTACTCCTTGATCTCCCTGAGCTTCCCTTCCTCAGGAACTACTGACTATCCTGGGTGCACTCTGCACCAGCCAGCCAGAGTTTATCCATGCACCATATCTGCGGGTCATGCATGGAGCAAACGATCTTTAGCACACCATGCTGCAACCTTGCTTCCCAGAAGACTGACAAGGGTTCCACATCACAAAGTATTAGAAACTAGTCACAGAAATTGGAATCTGTAAAGTAAATGAAAGAACAAAACAGGAATTGGAAAGGAGAGATTGCAGATATAAGTGCCACTGTTCGTTCATACTAGGAATGATTGATAGAATGCCTAGGCCTAGCAGACATGAATTTTAGCACCAAAAAAATAAATGAAAACAAATCAATTCAGCCCACAATTTCCAGAATTACAAAATAAAGTACTGTAATCAACACCTAGACCAATCAACAATTTGCACAATCAACAATTTGCACAATGTTTCTAATACTTCCACCTTTTGGTTGGACTAGCTGCCAAACCATTGGCAACCATCTAACAATGTGTATCACCGAGCTGCAGATTCTAACATTTGTGGTTCTGTAATGGATCCTCTTGTAATATACATTCAAATAGTACAAACTAGAGAGAGCAGAAAGCATGCTTACAGAGATACGTATTATTTGTAGTACAGAGGCAGAGACAAGCAGTGGGAACAGATACATGGTACTCAAATTTGGTGGTTTGAAGACGATGAAGCAGCATTAATTGACAGGTTTTGGACTGTCTTCCCATTAAGCCGAATGTATGGAACATGAGAGATGTTCAGCCAATCTGATCCTCCAGGTTTGAAATTGTCTTCCATGACGAAGCCATCCATAATCAATTCTTGGAGGTTCTGTGGCACAACTCCTTCCAGCGACAGGGGTTTTGTCTCCCTGATACTAAGTACTTTTAAGGAGGTAAGTCTGTTTAGTGTAGAAGGGAGTCGTTGCAGAAAATAGCAGTAAGCAAACTCGATTTTTTCGACAGATATTAGTTGTCCAAACCACTCCTCCTGCTCTGGGGTAAAATGAAGGGCCTCCAGATAAACGATGCACAGAGCACACACTGAGGGGACAAAAAAGTTCTTATTTAGCAAGCTAATATCTGTAACTATACTGCTAAGATGAAGTAAATCCTGCTCATCTTGTCTAACCGATTGGTCTTGTAATTCAGTAAGAATGCCAGGACAACCAAGAACATCAATATCCCTGAGGTTGGGAAAACATTGTAGCCCATCAATCAAACGTAGAGATCCACATTTTCGAAGATGTAGATAATCCAGTGACTTCAACTGATGCCCAGAGAATAGCAGTGGGTGATCACAGTAAGATATCCTTAATTTTTTGAGACATGCTAATAGTCCTACATATTGTGGGAGTGCCTTGGCAAAGTTCCCACAAGCTGAAATGTTAAGTTCTGACAATGAAGACATGGATGATAGGTTGGGCACTTTTTCCAGTAAAGGACAATTGTGAAGTTCAAACCTTGTGAGATGTGGAAGGAGAGGGCCATGATCTTCTTCTGCATGTGACCAATCTATCCAAGATGTCATCGAAGAAACTTTGAAGTCCTCCAAATTTGGGAGGCAACCAAAATGTGTTCCATCAACATGCTTCACCGATGGCAAGTTATCAAGAGTGAGATGCTTGAGTGAAGCGAATTTTCCAAATGGCGGAAGTACAGCTAGAAGTCGGCAGCTTCCAACATGAATAGACTGCAGTTTTGTGAAGATGTGGCCTTGCAAGATCCAGCTAGGTAAAGTTGTGGCCCCGTAACCTTCGATCATGAGCTCTTGAAGATTTGAGTGTGGCTGCAATCCTTCAAGTACATCTTTGGATACATTTCTCCCCTTCAACACCAAGGCTTCAAGGTGTTTCTTCCCAATCATATTGGCATCGGCTGCCTCAAGTGTGTTCTTAATGACGTGGATATTGCTTATGCAAATTTTCCCAGATAGCTCTTGCATGTTTTTCAATTCATTTATCATGAATCCGTTTCTCTTTCCAACACTGAAGTTCTCCAATTCTTGAAGTTGACTCAGTTGCCCAATACCAGGAATCAAAGAGAGAGCTGTAGCGTCAACATACAAGTGCCGCAAATTGGCGAGTGTATTAACACTTTGAGGAATAGAATTGCGGGTATATCCACGGAGGTATAAAGCATGAAGATTACAAGGGAAGTTGCGCAAATTATTGACTCTTGTGAAAGAAAGATCAAAGAACCTCAATTTCTTTAAGGATGAAATGTGGGCAGGCATATTTGTCAGCACTTCCAAATAAGATAAGTCTAAAACTCGAATGCTTCTTGAGTTGGCTAACATATTGTCAACAACATCACAAATTTCAGTACTGTCACAATGACCAAACAGTAAGATTGTCCGCAGATTTTTATACTTGTTGAGTTCATGAATGTGCAGTTGATTACTAACTTGCAGAGCCAAATGGCGAGCAGTTGGTGATGCTCTGCGTGAGGTCTCTTTGTGGAGAAAACATTCATATGAAGAAACACCAATTGCCAGAGCCCGTACTAGATCGTGCATAGTGTACCTCCTTTTATCAAATGTAGCCTGGAAAAATGATCTTTGCACAAGTTCATCAAACAATTTACCTCCAACGTCCTCTAATCTAGTGCCACCAGATTCGCTTTGTTCAATGAAATCGTGAGAAATCCACATATTGACCAATCTATCTTTATCAAACAAGTAATTTCCTGGAAAAATCGAACAGAAAGCGAAGCACTGCCTTTGTCTAGGCTGTAGATCTTGATAACTAATTCCCATGTATGGAAGGATTTCACAAAGAACTTCACTCAGGTCCCACCAATCGCTCTCAAGGATGCTTCTCCACTGGTGTATGGTAAATCTGGATCTTAACAGATTTCCCATTACTTTTGCTGCTAATGGCAAGCCATCTAGTTTTTTTGCTATTTGCTCACCAATTAACAGAAGAGTCTGATTGTTCTCTGCCACAGGACCGGTGGTGCCAAAAGCATAATACTGGAAAGCTGACCAAAAACTCTCCCATGGCAAAGGTGCTAGTGGAACTTGACACATTGTTGCTACTGTGTCTGCAACCCTTTTGCTTTGTGTTGTGACAAGAATTACACTTCCCGGTACTTCACCAGCTATGGCAGTAAGCAAACTACTCCACTGATCACACATCTCATCCCAAACACTATCAAGCACAAGAAAGAATCTTCCATGCCGGATGACATTTTGAATATTGTTGACAACTGTCTCTAGACTATCAGCACGGTCAAAAGATGAATCATTTCCTTTAATGGAGCACAACATCTCCTGCAACGTCCTTTTCACTCCGAAATGTTTTGAAACATACACCCATGCTCTGTGCCCAAAGTGACCCTTCACATTTTCATGATTGTAAATGACTTGAGCAAGGGTTGTCTTCCCAACCCCGCTCATACCAACAATTGGGATGACATCAATACCACCAATGGTGTACCTTGCCCCATGTTTTGCTCTTATGCTGCTGGATTCTGGTTCAGAGCCAGATGAACCCAAAATAATTCTCAGTATCAACTCTAGAACTTCATCGCGTCCAAACAGCTTGACATCAACTGGAACACGAGAAGTAGTCTCTCCCCCAACTCCCTCCTTGATGGATGATGAACTACTCTGCTTTAAGAGCTCCAGAAATGTGTTGGAGGTTGCACAGAGGTGATCTAGCTTCTGCACAACATATTCAAGCCTTTTCATGCTCTCATCAGGTACAACCAAACTTTTAAGGGCCCTAATCGACGACGAAACGAGCTCGCTCATCTTGCGCTTTCCGAGGACAATGTCTTGACAGTCAAACTTGTCAAGCACATCCTCAGCTTCATAGGCAGCATCATGGAGGTTCCTTAGCCACTTGGTAAGACTAGTGCTGGTGATAAGCTGGTTATCAGCGACCTCGGTGATGGCCTTCACCATGGTGAGGCTTGTGTGGAGTTTGGTCAAAAGCTCTTCAGTAGCATGGCTCAGATTATAGTTGCTCTCAAGGAAGTCAATCACCTTGTCAACAGCACGCTGGATAACTGCTGATGAGAAGCCACCGGCCACCTGCTCTGCAGCTGCAGACATCATGATTCGAACCCTGCAATAATGATAGAACCTTTTATTCCATGTTTGTACTTTGTATGCAGTTGTAGAAAACTGTCTCCTGTTAAGGGATAGATGAACAGATAAACTGATAATCTCAATCTAGCAAGAGATCTTGACTTGACTAGTTGACTGTAAGGATTACTTATTTCAAGCACTTTGCTTCGAGATGAATTTTCTTCATGTATGAGTTAGCATTTATATATTCTATCGCCTCAAAAAATGAGGGAGGAAAACTTAACTCAGATGCAATCTTCTCAAGAAATGAGCAGATCCAAAACACAATGGACTTGCAACAGAGCATGGAAGGAATTAGGAAAAAATTAGTAAAATTTGGCTTCAACAGATGCAATCTTCGCAAGAAATGCTTAATTTAGCATCACAGCTTTCACAATGAAGCGTATCTAAGTTTTCCTGATGAAATTCAGGAGCTCCCATGTCAGACTGTGAGTACCCAATCCGACCCAGCTCCTCCGGCAATCTTCTTCTAGGTCGCCCGTGCGCAGCATG